TACCAGAGACATGGCCAAATGAGAACCCTGCCAAAGGTCCAGGGGGCTGCTGAGGGGCAACCTGCTGCCCAAATTACTAACCCTGGGCCCACCTGCCTGCGCCCATAAAGATCAGAGAATCCCACTGGCCCCCACCCACCTGCTGCCTGGGCTGGACACCTCCAACGCCCTCACCATAGCTGATGGGACCGCAGCTCCGGGGCCTGCCCGGGAGAAAGACGCAGACGGGCACCCCAACAGCGCACCGCCGACGCGGCTCGCACCTGCTCAGACTCGCGAGGGCGCTGCCCTGCGGCACACCTGGCACCCGCCGGCCAGCAAGCCACCGGCCCAGCCGCCGGTGCCTCTTTTCTGCAAACGGCCCAGTGTGACTATCCCTAACTGAAACCCCACCTCCAGGTGCAGGAGGGGGGAGGTGCAACGGGACAGGCATGTTCCAGCAGGGACAAATCGCGGGGGACACTGAGCGGCCCTGGGTGGGCTCCCCCACCAGGACCAGGGAACGCGAGGGCCCAGCCCGCACTGGACACACAGGGGTGCAGGATTCCCATCTGACAGGTGGGTGGAGCTCCAGCTGCAGGGGCAGTGTGGCCCCGGGGCCCTGGCTCCGTCCCTTAAGCGCATGGGGGCCACACCTGACCCACCCGTGAAACTTCAGCACAGCCGTCCGGGGGGCCGTTCTGGGCGGGGTAGGAGAGGTGGGAAAGGGGTCCCAGGCACCCAGGTAGGAGAGGTGGGAAAGGGGTCCCAGGCACCCAGGTAGGAGAGGTGGGAAAGGGGTCCCAGGCACCCAGGCGGGGGCTGTGTGGCTTCAGGGCAGTCCCTTTGGGGGCCGCTCCCTGTCCACGATCAGGACAGTGATGGGCTCCAGGACAGAGGGCCCCACAGGCTTATTGAGATGTGGCAGCAGGCAGGCCTGGGCTGACCCTGCCGCTCCATCACCTGCAGCTTCTGTGGGACCCCTCACAGCCTCTGTGGGTGCAGACGTTGCCACTATATAAAATCCGCGTGTGCCAGGCTCCCAGGGCTCCCCTCCCTGTTCAGAGCTGGGGTGACAGCCAAGCACAGCCACGGGCAGCGGCCAGCGGGCCCCCCCCCCAGGCTGGGAGGTCTTAGGAAACTGACACAAGGAGGCTGAGATGTTGCCGAGAGCTAATTGGCATCACCCACTCCCTGCCCCGTCACCCCCGACAGCTCTCGGCCCGTCTGGAGGGAGAGTGGCTCCCGGTCCTCTAAGTGACAGGGTTTGGGGAAGGCCACACGGGCCACCTGGCCTGCTGAGTGTTCTCGCAGCCGGGCTCCGTGGAAGCCAGGACACCTGGGCCTCAGGTGAGCTCCTGCCGGTGCGGGGGAGAAATGGCAGGCTCTGGAGGCCTCGGTCCCGGTATTGGGCATTGTCTGAGGAGTGAGGCGGGTGAGTGGGGCACTTCCCGTCGTCGTCCTGGGTGGCCCTGAGTGCCCAAGGACACTCGGCCACATGAAGACAGTCCTGCCCCGGAGTTCCTTGGCCTCGGGGGAGATGTGCAGGGCAAGCGTCTGTGAGCTGACTTCCAGGGACTCCCCAGCCTACTGCTAGCGCTAGGGAGATCCTCAACCCAGGAGGGCTCCCTGCAGGAGGTGACCTAAAGGATGGGGAGGATTTAGGTCTTTGAAGATAGGAGAACATTCCGGGCCCCGTGAACAGTGGGCTCCAAGGCAGGGCTGGAGCGAGGGGGACAGGGGCTTCCCTGAGCACCAAGACGGGGCGACATGCTCTGTCGGGAGCAGGCACCTGAGCCCTGCCGGCCCTTCCTCCCCAGGCGCCGAGGGTGTCCAGGCCCCGGTTGCGCTACCCTGGGAGCCAGCGGTTGGGGTTTGCTTCTGAGCGTGTGAGTCGGCAGGAGCCGAGGCGAAGTCTCTAACGGTCCTTTGCCACCGAGTAAAGTTCTTGTGGGCTCTCCCGCACGTTGGCTACAGAGCTGGGCGGGCAGGTGGTCTGCAGGTGGCTGTGAGGGGTCATGCAGAGGGAGGGGCCGCACTGACCCTCCCCCGTCTCAGGGTCCTGAGCCGCCAGACCTGCCGCGCTGACTCCTTGGTCTCCCTGTGTCTTGCAGAACATGCTGCGTCTGTCCCCGAGTGCCGCCCGGAAAGCAGAGCCCGTCGTGGGCTTTGGAGAACCCTCCAGGACTTCGAGGCCCAGGGAGCCGGGCGGGGAGGTGCTCACTCCCGTCAGCAGCAGCCCAGGAGGTGGGTGGCCAGGCAGGGGCTGTAGATCGGCCTTTCGGGGACCCCCAGCACCAGCCCCACTTTTGCTGGTTCCACTTGCAGCCAGGCCCCGCCTGCCCAGAGTCCCCGGGTTGGGGGGCACTCAACCTGGCCCCCAACAGGTGGGAGGGACCCCTCCCCAGGCCCAGGATCCAGGAGTCAAGCAGAGGATCCCCAGGGCCCGGTGACCAGCACCCAGAGCCATGCCAAGGGATGGGCACACCTGGCCCCGGCCCGCCGCCTCCTCCTTGCCATCTGACGGACCGGGGAGGTGTCCTGCGTCCGAGGTCTTGAGTGAGGTGCCTGCTGTCACCTAGGTCTTAGGACAGGGCGGACCGGAGCCAGCAGGGTACAAATGAGGGGCGTGCACACCCCACACGCACCCAGGGCCTCCACCCCAGGGCTTCACTGCCATCTCTCTCTCCTTCCAGGTCTCCTCCCCTCTTCTCGGACACTTCCCCAGTTGAGACCGGAAGCCTCGGTGACCGTGTCTGCCCTCAGGTCAGTGCAGTGGTTTGAACGTTGGTGGAAATTGGGGCTACTGGGTCCCCTCCTTCCTGGCAACCGCCTTCTGCTGGGCATGCCTGCAACTGGACACGCGTGTGCATAGCACGCATGCGTGCACATGGGCGTCTGGAGGGCCCCAGAGCCAGGCAGGTGTCGCTCGCACACTCACAGAGGCCCGGCTGGGTCTGCTCCCGGCCCCTTCTCCCCGCACGGCGGCCGCCTGCTGCAGCCGCAGGGTCCGGGTCTGAGCAGCCGGGGGCCTGCCCAGGTTTCACCCCGGGAAGTTCGACGGGAACCATCTTTTGAGCTCCCTCCTGCACACAAATTGAGTGAAGTTCCTGTTTGCAAGGAGCCACCCGCCTTGAGGGGTCTGAGATGGGAGGGCAAGGGCAGCCTGGGGGACTGGGGAACTTGGAGGCCACCTAGGGCCAGCTGCTAATGCCCCTTCACCCTGAGGTGAAAAGGTAAGATCCATTCTGCCACCTGCACAGCCTGGGGTGCATCTCGGTACGGCCAGGGTCCCTCCTCTGGAGGGCTTTTCCCCAGAGGGCCTTTCCCCGGCCCTCACTGGACTGGTGACCGCAGGGCCATCTGCAGCGGCTTTGAGGACACCCAGGGGCTCAGCAGGTGAGACGGTCCCTGCTCACGCCCTGCGCCTCCCGGCTCATCTGCGCACAGGTGTGGATTGTGGCTGCTTGGAATGTTCTAGCCTCCTGGGAATCAGCGTAGCATGGGGTTGGGGCAGGCCTGGCTGTCCCCCGTCCTCACTGCTGCCAGGGCCAGGGCCAGGGCCAGACCTAGCTCCCAGGGCTGTGTGGAGGGGACCCAGGATGTGCGGGTGTAGGCAGGAGCAGCCGGCGCCTGGGCCCGGACCCCTCTGCCATCTGGGGCTCGGCCTTGCCCGCCAGGTGCTGCAGACACTGCCCCGGGCGGCCTTTGTGTCCGCACGCAGGTCGGGCCACCAGGGTGGGCCAGGAGAGGGGAGGAAAGAGACCCCAGGGGACCCAGGAAGGGTGGGACAGGATGGGGGGGTGGCACGTAACAGGGAAGGAGAAGGACAGAGCGTGGGGGCAGAGCAGGGCAGGGCGACCCTAGGAACTGTGGGGCTGTCACGGGAGACCAGCCTGAGGGTGCAGCTGGCCCCAGATGTCCGACAGGGGGGCCTGGAGGGTGTTGGCCAAGGTGACAGGTTCACAGAGCCAGTGCTTTCATGAGCACCCACCCTAAGTCAGGTCTGTCCATGGGCCCCCATCCCACCTGCACCCAGACCCCAGCGTCCCACGGGCAGCAGTGGCAGCCACCAGGGACCACCTGAAACCGAGACCCCATGGTTGTGTCCCTTACACAGGCTTGAGCGCAGAATGTGCCTCTGGGTCTCTGACCCTGAAGCCCTGACAGGTGTGCAGGAGGCCACGAGGGTGTGTCCTCAGGAGCATCCTGTGGGACCCCCAGGGGCTCCTGGGCCCAGTGGCGGGCGCCTTGTGCAGCGACCGAGGCTCAGGGAGTGCAGGAAACAGCCAGGATCAGGGGAGACAGGCCCGAGGGGGGAGTGGACAATCTCGGGGCTGAGACCCTGCACCCCATACTCATAATGGGTAGAAGAGAAGGCCAGGTGCACACAGTAGGTGCTTACTCAGTGCTCATCAAGTGCCTGAGTAATTGCTGTAGCGGCCACATACCCTTTGTTAGGACCACCCAAAGGCGGGCTCGCCACCCTGACCTGTTCTTGCAGAGGGGGGCCATGGTAGCCCAGCCACCCCTCATCCCCGTAGTCTCAGAACAGTGGAGGGCCTTGTGCCACCAGCTTGGACCGGGAGAGCCATTGAAGGTTTAGGGGGGACAGTGACTCGCTCAGTGGGGCTTGTTTTTAGCTGACTCTAAATTGCTTTCCTGGAGGTCTGCCCAGACTTGGCCCGGGACGAGGAGGTCCTGGTGTGGCCGGCTCCCCTGGCCTTTCCCCGGCCCTCACCTCATGAGGGGACAGCGTCCTTCTGGCCACGCCTGTGGCATGAGCCCGGGTGCCTCACCCTCCCTCAGTGGCAGACAGCAGAGCCACAGCCCCTACCAGCAGCACATGGCCCTGCTCAACGCCCAGCGCTGGCTGGTTTCCGAAGGGACTTGTCTCTGCTCCCCGGGGTGGCAGCCCGGGCTCCTGCTCAGGGAGGCGGCCCTGCCCTTCAGGAGCTGCGGCAGGTGTGGGTGCCCAGGAACCGGGACATGGGGCGCAGGAACACCCACAGCAGAGCCACGTTGAGAAGCCACCCTGCCGGCTCCAAGACTGCCCGGCGTGTGGCACCACAGCCTAGAGGAGGGACCCTGGCGGTACCGAGATGCACCCCGGGCTGTGCAGGTGGCAGGGTGGACCTCACCTTTTCACTTGAGGGCAAAGGGGGTGTTAGCGGCCAGCCCTAGGTGTCCTCCAAGTTCAAGTCGAGGAGTGGCAGAGATTGGTTCTGATGCTAAGTACCCACATACCCTTTATTTACCCAGGGAGAAAACATTAAGGCCTCACCATGACCTTGCATCTGACCCTGCAGTCCCAGGGAAAGTACAGAAGCTCCATGATTTCTGACGGGGCTGCGTCCCCACAAACCTGCGGTCAGCTGAAAACCGCATAGGCCGAGAAAATGCGTTTAGTGCACCTGGCCTGCCGAGCACCCCGGCTCAGCCTGTGAATGTCCCGGGAACATGGGCGCTGGCCCCAGGCTGGGCAGGAGCCCCTCGCACGGAGCCCGTTTTGTAAGACGTGTTGCGTGTCCCGTGTCGTTGTCACTGCCGCACTGAGTGCAGACAGTGTCTGCAACATTCCCCTCGCTCCGGCCCCGCAGTAAAGTCAGAAAAGCGTAACTGGAATTGGGCCCCGTGGTGGGAGGCCCGACCCCACCCCACTATTATACGGAAGTGACAGGGATGGGACGGGCGCGGTGGCTCACGCCTGTAATCCCAGCACTCTGGGAGGCCGAGGCGGGAGGATTGCTCAAGGTCAGGAGTTTGAGACCAACCTGAGCAAGAGCGAGACCCCGTCTCTACTATAAATAGAAAAAAATTAATTGGTCAGCTAAAAATATATAGAAAAAATTAGCCAGACATGGTGGTGCATGCCTGTAGTCCCAGCTACTCGGGAGGTGAGAGGAGATTGCTTCGAGCCCAGAGTTTGAGTGCTGTGAGTAGCTACGGACGGCACTCATTCTAGCGCGCCAACAAAGCGAGACTCGTCTCAAAAAAAAAAAAAAAAAGAGTGGCAGGAGGGTGGCACCCGCCCTCTTTTGATTGCTTTTGCCCCACGTCCACAAAAGCCACCCCACCCCCTGGCTTCCCCACTGCTCTCTGGGTCTCCTGGAATCACCGTCTCCCCCGACCATGCCCTGAGAGCCCCGCTGCGGCCACAGTCCCTCCCCCGGCCTCAGTCCTCATTGCCGACTGCGGCTGCGCTCGCACGGCCGGCGGGTGCTGGTGTGGCCCCTTGCCCCGGAGGCCTCGTCTGTCTCTCTGCTTGCATTGGGCTCTAAAACGGGGCTCGTGAATGCCTCATGGAGACCGCGGGCGGGAGGCAGCAGATCCCGCGGCCCCGCGGGATCGCTGGTCTGGCGGGCTCTGCTCTGGAGAGGCTCGAGCCGGCGGGGCGGGTGCGGGCCTGTGCCTCTTGCCCAGAGCGGCCAGAGAAGGGGACACAGCGTGGAGCAGGCGGCCACCGGGCAGCCGAGCAGGACGGGGCTCAGGCCTCAGGGCTGGTCTGGCAAGTGGCGGGTGCTGAGGGTGGCCGGGCGGGGCTCCGGGAGGGGTGGGGGGTGGGGGCAGGCCTGTGAGCAGGGCCGTGAGCGCCGGGCCGGGGACGAGAGCCACAGGAGGTCCGAGTGGCCATGGCTGTGCGGCCCTGGAATGAGCCTCCGAGCGTCTCCGTGCTGTTCGCCCCGCACCTGGGCCGGCCCCTCGGCCGCCTGTCTGGACCGGGGCGAGCCAGGTCCAGACAGGTCCAGGTCCGGAGCCCCCCGGGGACCCGGGAGCCCAAGTGCCTCTGCAGGTTAGGGGCAGAGGAGGGTTTCTGGCCCAGAGGGAGCCCAGGCTCGGGGGCCGGCCGTCTACACCACCTCAGGCTGGGCTGTGAGGGGGAGAACGTGGTGCCCAGCAGGCACCCCCCACCCCAGGACCACCCGGAACCCCGTGGAGGGGTTGACGAGGCCTCTGCCAGCCCCGGAGAGTTGGGAGCTTGGGCAGGAGGAAGGTTCCAGAAAGGCCTGCCTGCCTCTCTCCGGGCCTCCACGCAGGCCAGGCGGCTGTGTTTCCAGAGCGGACATGCCTCCTCCTCCTGCTCCTCCCTGCCCTGCTGCCCGCGGTCCCCGCCTTCCCGCTTCCCACCGCCTTTGTCTCCGAGGGCTCCACAAAATGGCCGCCGCAGCCCTCCGCCATTTTGTAGCCCAAGCGGGCGCTGCCTGGCGGGCGCGGAGGGAGGGAGACCACTGCCCACCCGCCTGCCCCGGGCGGCCTGGACGGAGCCCAGCACCAGCCCCAGCACCGGCCCCCGCCCCAGCCTTGGCCATGGCCGCCCCGGGCTTGGCAGCAGCCAGGGCTTGGCAAGGCCGTCTGGGAGTCCCGGCCCCTCACCCAGCCCCGCCCGGCCCCCTCACCACCCCAAGTCTCCCCGCCAAGTGCGCAGAGCTCCTGCGGGGGCACCAGAGCCCAGAGGAGCCGCAGTCAGAGCCATGCTCGTGGAGGGAGTCCTCGGCCATGGCCAGGGCCAGCGTGGACCATTCTAGAAATGGCGTTTGCCCAGGTGGAGCTGGGCTCCCCGGCGGTCAGCAGGGGCGGGGGTGTGCGGGGCCCACGGGGAGGGCAGCAGCACTCTGGCTTCCACTCACCCCTGTGCTCCCGGCCTGCCCAGGGACCTCGGGGCTCCCGTGTTGGGCACCCGGGTCTTGCCGTGGTCACTGGGGCTTCTGGTCTGGAGACGGGCGCTGCCCAGCCCCAGGGAGCGGGGCGGGGGCTTCCTGGGGGAGGCATTGCCAGGAGAGTGGGGCCGCTCTCCTGCCGAGCTTCCCCGGCCTGGGCCCGCCCAGGCTCCAGAAGACACAGAAGTGGGGCAGCTCTTCCCTCCAGCCAACCCCGACAGCCCCACTGTCCCTGCGGGACCCCGACCCCCAGCAGGAGCCCCTGCCGAGCCTCTGATCTTGTTCTGTGCCCACAGGGTCACTCATCTGTCCTCCTGGCACCAGCGGATCAGCAAAGGCATGTTCCAGAGGGCAGGGGCACGGCTGAACAGTCTCCAGGACGTGCCCAGCAGCCGCAGGAGGGGACAGCAGCATCGAGGGACAGCCTGCCCTGCCGCCTGCCAGGCGCTGGCGCCTGGAGTCCCACGGCAGGTCCCTCTAAGGGCAGGGCACCTCCTGGAAGATTTTCCATGTGAAGAAGCAGGCGGTGGCATCTGATGAAAGTATGTGCATTTTATGGAGGTCGATGCTAGTTCTCCGGCCAGCATGGGGTGGTACCAGGTGGTCCCCACTTTGCCAGGTGTCCTCCGTGTAGCCATGGGCCGGTTCCCTGCTGGAGGGGACCATGGATAGACCGCAGGGCCCTTCTCCAGACACCCGTGGGCTCCCGGCAGAACCCTGCAGCCTGGGAAGGTTGCTGGACACGCCCTTCCCTTCTCCTTCCCTTGCGGTTCCTGGACGGAACATTCCGTCACCACAAAGTGAAGTTTGCACAAGCCCTGCCCTGTCTCTGGGGGAAACCCAGCCGAGGATGGGCTGGTGGAATGCCACCTGCCCGCCCAGACCCCAGGCCATCCCACGTGCCAGACCTGGAGCCTCCCGGGGACGGGAGCCCAAGTGCCCAGGCAGGAAAAGCCCTGCCAGGCGGGGCTGCCGCAGGTCAGGGTGCTGGCTGGGCATTCTTGATGTGGTTGCATCCCGTCACCCCCCACCACCCGCTGTCCTTTCCTGCCCTCCCTGCCTGTGACCCAGACTGCGGATCGAATGGAGAATATTTTCCGATAAGTGCACACCTTTGGGGTTAAAACTGTTGCCTGTTGTTGAACAGATGTGTTCGTGGGAGGAGAGGGGCGGTGCATCCTTGCCTTTCTGCTCTGGGCCCCGGGCGCGTGCGTTTGCTTAAGCGTGCAGCGGCAGAGAGCCGCTCCCCGGCTGGCACTGCCCACCTGGCCCGGCACAGCCCTGGGAGCCGCCTCTGTCCCGCCCCAGTGACGGAGGAGGCAGCCGAGGCCCGGAGGACTGACCTGACCAGGCCTGTTGCTGGTGGAACACAAAGTGGGGTCCGAGTCGAGGCCTGGTGGCCCCAGAACGCCCTGCTGTCCCCCAGCCCGTGGACGTAGGTGTGCCCGCCTTGCAGGGGCCATGTCCCACTGGCCGGGGCTGCTCCCCCGCCAGCTCCAGGCTGCCTGGCATCTCAGGTGGCCCTCCTCCCGTGGGCTTGCAGACCCCCGTCTGTGGGCTGCGGGACTCGGCACCTGCTGGGTACCTGGCCCTGCTTTAGGTGCGTGGCCTCAGCACGGCGGGCCCGGCCCCTCCCCCTGCGAGCTTAGTGGCTGTGAGGGAACAGGGTGCAGGGCCCAGACGGGGTGCAGACTCCGTGTGGTGGAGACCCTGACCCGGAGCACACGGTGCCTGTCTCAGGGGCCAGAGAGGGGATTGGGGCCCCAGACTGGGCCTAAAAGGAAGGCAGGCTTGGGGTCTGGCCTGGGGGGCTCCATCCCGGAAGCGCCCCCCACACCCAGTTCTGGCTTTTCTGCCACATCCTGTGGCGTGCCGTGGCATCCTAGTGGCTGGTCCTGCCCCGGGCCTGGGGGGCCCAGCCGGCCTGGGGGGGCCCAGCCTCAGTGCAGCCTGGGGCCTAGGAAAGGGCTGGAGCCCTGGGCCGGCCTGTCTCGACTTAAATTTGATATTGTTAGAGCACGGATGTTTTTGCATTCATTTTTGTCTTTCCGAACATCTCAGTGAGGGGTCACTCGGCTGACGACGGAGGCTTTGGTCCCTTGACGTGCCTCCCTCGCCCCTGCGCCAGTCTGGCCCCGCCCGGCGCCCCGTGGGTGCGGCCTCTCCCAGGTGCCCTGGCCTGCCCCACGGCGGCCAAGGACTGCTGCCCGCGCCCTCGTCAGCTCTGCGGCCGCGTCCGCAGGGGACCCGCCTCCGCCGGAGCCCCGGATGCCGCCCGTCCCGCGCCCCAGACTGCATTGTTGGCACGGCCTGCTGAGCAGAGACACTGGCTGCTTTATGGGGAGAAACCCAATCAGGGTGGCTGGGGGGGCCATCTGGGGGGGACGCGGCGCCCGGTGGCCCCGAGCCAAGCCCGAGGTGACTTCGGGGTGACACCGTCTGTCTGCCTCGCTCGCTCGCTCCAGACATCCGCCCGGCCCTGGAAGGGCCACCTGCCCACCACAGCCTCCCACACACCTGTCCCAGCCAGCCTGGCTCCTCCCCCGCCGGGCCGCCCGGCACCCTGCCCACAGGCAGGCACGGCCGCCGGGGCAGGCCCGGGAGGTGGCAGCTGGCAGATGGCAGGGCGTCTGCCGACTGCTCGCTCCCCGGCGACTCTGCTCACGCTGCGCCACCCGCCCGGCCACCCGGCCCTCATCCAGGCTGGCTGGGAAGGGTCCCTTGGTCTGTCTCAGGACGCACCCCCCTGCTGTCCCTGAGGCCTGCGGACACCCCCAGGCTGTAGGGCAGGTGGCCCCGGCAGATCACACCCCCTCAGTACCCTCCCCCCAACGCGCAGAATTAGCGCCTGGCCCTGCCCCTGCAGAAAAGGCTCCGTGAATGGACCACACACCCAGAAACGACCGTCTTGCTCCCCATCCTCCCACGCCTGCGGGAGTCCTCCCTGGGTGGGGTGGAGTCTGCTGGGGTCCCAGTGTCTGCTGTCTTGGTCACCAGAGCACAGCAGGGCTGGGGGGCGAGTGACCTGTGTCCAGGCGCTGCCACGGCCAGCTTCCCCGCCCACCGCGGGTCTGGGCGGTCCAGATGGGAGTCCCAGAGCCGCAGGGGCAGACCCTGGGGTACACAGGGCCCTCTGGGGACAGGAGCAGTGAAGAGCGGGGCGGTGCTGCCGGGCAGACGGGCGGGGTGCGGAGGCCTGCCCGGGGCATTCTGCTGCTACGGGAGTCTGGAAGGGGGAGCCGGGGCGCCAGGCATGGCGGGAAGGAGCAGAGACCGTGGAGGGGGTTGGCACGGGTGATGGACAGCCCGGCCAGCTGGGCGCTCGGGGAGGGAGGGAGCCCCCTGCACAGCCTGGTGGGCTGTCTCGGGCCACACTGGTGGGTGTGGTGCTGGGGCTCCAGGTCGCACGGTGCAGGGAACCTGAGTGGCTCCGGCTCCTGCCCCTGCCTTGTGCTCCTCTTGCACAACTGCCCACGTCCCTGCCTGCCTGGGTTTGTCCCACCAGCCTTGCCACTGTCATGCGGATCCTGTGAGGGCACGTGGCCAGGAGAGGCTGGGGCGAGCAGAGCCTTGGATTTGCGCAGCAAGCCCTTGCTGGGGCTCCGGCCTCAAGCTGGGTCCTGGGAGCCCGTTCCCGGGGTTCCCGCTCCGGGGAGGGTCCCCAGCCTCCCTTGCCCTGGGTCCTGGGCAGCCGCGGCCTCTTGGGAGCCTCAGGTCCTCCTCTGTTTGGGAGGCCAGTCCCAGTCTGTGCCGTCCCCCACGTCTCCGCCCTCCTCGGCCCTGGCAGGGCATTGGCCACCCAGCCTGGGAACGCCGGCCACCCCAACCATCGGGGACAGAGCTTGGGGCTTGGCCATCGCTGACCTGGCATCGTCCAGCACAGGGCTGGCCGCAGAGGCTGTGCCGTCCAGGTCCTGCAAGGGGAGTGCCGCCAGGCGGGAGGCGCCGCGCTGGAGGGCGGGTGGGCGCAGAGGCTGGGTGGGCAGCGAGGCCGGGACGGGCCCAGAGGGGTCAGGCTGGGCGAGGCTGCATCTCTTCCAAAGCTGACACTTGTCACTTTTGTTTCTAAAATCCAAACAGGCCAAGAAGTGATGCCGACGTGGGAGCCCCTGCCACCGGCCATCCTCACGTGAGCGGGGCCTCCCCGTGCTTGCTGGGAAGTCGGAGCTATGGGAGGCTTTATGGGGGGGGGGAGGGCCATGGTTGGAGCCGGGTCCCTCCTGGTCCTTTCCGGGCCCCATCTCCTTAGATGGGGGCTGGGGGTCCCACTGCCGAGGCTGTGCCCCAGCTGTGCCCTCCCCTGAGCCATGTCTCCTCTTCCTGCCCTCTTCCGGCAAGCTTCCCCATTGGCCCACCACGCCCTTGTGGCTTGGTGACCTTTGACCCTGGTGGTCTCCCCACTCAGACTGGACATGGCCTGAAGGAGCCGTGGTTCGTTGCAGGCCTCGTGGGAGGAAGAGGGGCACTCAGCCTTGTCCTCACCCTGTCGGGGTGTGCTGTCCCCAAGCTCCTGGTTGTGTGTACCTGCATGTCCCACTGGGATCACCGTGCCTCGAGGGCTCTCCGGGACAGGGGTGCCCCAGGTAGCCCCCTTCCCTCCCTCACTGTGGATCAGCCTGGGGTGCAGCCCTGATACACCCAGGCTCCCTGCCATTGTCACATAGGAGAGTCCTGCTTAGAGCAAGAAGAAAGGCCGGGTGCGGGAAACTGAGTCACATCTGCTTCTCCAGCCTGGGGTGAACAGACAGGGGGAGGGGGCTTGTGGTGAGGGCCAGGGTGGACCAGGACGTCTGCCTCCACCCCCCGGGCTGCCCTGCCCCACGCCACCCCCAGCCTGTGGGGCCGGGGGTCAGAACCAGCGTGGGGTGGAAGGGTCCCGGCCAGCCCAGCAGCCAGGCCAGCCTGAGGGCTCAGGGGTTTCGGGGCCCAAGGCCAGAGCTCGTGCTGGGGGCGCACCCCGGCCCACAGCCTCCCCTGGCTCTTCCAAGGGGTACAGTTGGGGGTGGATGCCGGGACCACATGTCGTGCCCGGACATCCAGGCTGGAGCCCGGGCCTGGGAGCCAGCGTCCTCCCGGGGGATGGGGTGAATGACAGCTGTCACCCCACAGGGTGGCTTGGCAGTGCCAGGTCTCCCTTGATCTTCCGCCTTGACCGCTCACCGTGGCTGGGAGGGTAGCAGGAGACCCTTAGCCCTGCCCCGCCCTGACTGGCTCTGCCTCGACCACCCTTGGGGACACCTCAGCTCTGTCTGCCAGCCAAGGGGTCCAGAGTTGAGGCAGGGCAACGGGACGTGCAGATGTCCTTCTGGGGCTTTGCGGGAACATGGGGTGTCTGCGACCACCGGCCAGACAGCGTCTGGACAGGGGAGGGCCAGGTTGCTGCACTTGTAGGCAACTCACCTCGTGTCCCAGCGCCCCGTGGGCACAGCCCTTCCTCTGCGGAGTGGGCAAGGCCAAGCCCGGAAGAGCCCGAGAGAGCCAGCAGCACCCCCACCGTGCCCAGAGCAGACATCTGGGGCCAGAGACTCAGCCCCCCTGGGCCTCGGCGTCCTCCCATGAAATGGGATCAGCAGTCATGGCCTCACCAGGGCTGAATGGCACAGCCAGGCCTGGTGCCTGCCTGGAGGAGGCGGCACGGCACGTTCAGGGCTGTGGGAGGAGGTGGAGGGTAGACTTTCCTGGTCCACAGTGGGATTGGAGAGCTCGGAGCTAATGTGCCGTTTTTCGAGGTGGGAAACAGAGTGGTCTAACATTCGCTCTGCCGCCCGTCAGCTGGGTGACATCGAGAAGGCCACATTACTTCTGCGGGCCTCAGTGTCCTCAGGTCCCCCAGGAAGGTGGAGGCCAAGTCAGTGTGTGTTGGGGCTGCCCCTGCGGCAGGCCCTGGGCTCAGGAGGGCCCCGGGGCCCTGTCTCCTTGCAAGTCACCCCACAAGCAGGTGAGGCCCAAGGCCGTCTAAGTGCCGTCGTCCTGCCAGGCCCCCAGGCGCCGGAGCCCGCACAGGGACAGGCCCTGGGCCTGCGTGTCCCCCGAGGGTCTGCAGTGCCACCCCGGCCGTCCTTCCCGGGAGCCAGCTTCCCTCAAAGAAGGAGAGAGCTACATCCCTGGTCCCCTCCCGTGGCGTGGTGAGCTCGGGCCGGGCCGCACAGCAGGGCAGGACAGTGCCCAGGGAGGGGCAGCGCGTCCCCAGGCTGCTGCCTGGCCAGTCTCGGGGCCACGAGCCCTGCTCGTGGTGGCACTAAGGGGGCAGAGGCCCTAACCCTAACTGTCCAAGGGCAGGGTCGCGGCCAGGTGGACACTCACAGCACCACTGACACGTGCTGGCCTTCGACAGGTGACAGCTTCCCCCCAGCATCTGCAGTGCAGGAGTCCCTTGGGGACGTTTCAGCCACTCCTGTCTATATGGGAGTGAGCCAGCTGCTTGTGACAGTTTCCCAGAAGGCCACCCAGGGCTCCTCCCTCCTCTCTGTCTTCCTCTCGCCGTGTCTGGCTGGTGGCTCCCCGCCGCCCAGCCTGTGGGATCCCGGTGCCCTTGGGCACCCGCTGGCCCAGCCGGGCGCCCAGCCCCTTCCCGAACTCAGCCCTCCTCCCTTCCCCTCCAGCAGGTGCCTCCGGGAGCCGCGGAGCCCCCGCTCGACGCCAAGACCGCGCCCTTTGGGGTGAGGTAGTAGGTTGTATAGTTTGGGGCTCTGCCCTGCTGTGGGATAACTATACAATCTACTGTCTTTCCTGAAGTGGCTGCACTATCTGCAGTGGACGCAACGTGGGACCCTGGCCCCGGGGGCGGTGGGGAGGGCGCGGCGCGGGCAGCTCTGGTGGGCGTGGGGGACAGCCGCTGCCGTGCAGGAAGCAGCTGACAGGCCAGGCTCCATGTGCAGTGGGACCTCGGCGGGCCTCGCTTCCTCATCTGTGAAATGGGGGCAGGCGAGGGCCGAGGGAGTCGCCGCGTGAAGCGTGAAGCGGGGCGGAGCAGGGCATGGAGCCGGCCGTGTCCCCGCGCGGTGCCGAGAGCAGGATGCCCAAGCGGCTGTTTGTGAAGCCCCGGCGTCAGGCCCGGCCGTGGGGAGCTCCGGGCAGGAGTCTGGGCTGCACCCTCAGCTGCACTCACACCGGGAAGGAGCGCGGGCCGGGGGTGGCCGAGACTTCCAGGGGTCGCGGGGCGGTGAGCGGCGGCACAGCCGGCCAGGGAAGGCGGGAGGCCGGAGCGCCGCCCCCATCTCCGGGCTCAGCCGGGAACGTCGGACACGGCCTGGAGGAGGTGGCGTGGGGACACCGGCCTAGGGCAGGGCTGCCCTTCCCGCCGGGGCACCCTCTCTCCACTCCCCCTGCCCTGCGCCTGCCCAGCCCCGCGCCCGGTGGCGGAGGACGGCTGGGCGGGGCGGGCGCCGGGCGGGGCGGGGCGGCGGCCCTCCCGCACCGCGAGGCCGGGCCCGGCGGGGTGAGGTAGTAGGTTGTGTGGTTTCAGGGCAGTGATGTTGCCCCTCAGAAGATAACTATACAACCTACTGCCTTCCCCGAGGCGCCCAGAGGCACGTCCCCAGGGAGGCCGCCGCCCACCGCCGCGGGCAGGGCGCAGGGGGCAGACGGCGCGGGGCCTCGCTTCCCTGAAAGCCGTTCTGACCTGAGTTTGTAATTGGCCTGCGTGGCCACGCCCGGGCAGAGCAGCACCCTGTCCCGACACCCGTCGGTGCCCGTCCTGCACCGCCAGCACCTCCGGGCCGGCCTTCCTGCCACGCTGGGCCGGTGGCCGGGGGAGCCCAGAGGGGTCCAGGGAGGGCTTCCTACAGCAGGGGCCTTCTGAGCTGGGTTTTGACAGCTGCGTAAGAGTTTGCAGCTGGAGACCATGGGAGCGCTCTGTCACCCCCTCCCCCGTTGTCCCCTGGGGCCAGGGTGGGTGACACACGGGCACCGTCCACCTCCCCTTCTTCACTTCATGGTCAGCGGTCAAGTCCGGCCAGGCCTGTCCCCTGCACATCGTTCCTGCCCTTCCACACTCCCACCACCAGGCCTCTGCCGGCTCACCCCTGGGCCCACCCGCCCCGGTCCTCCTCTCGGCCCCGCACGGCTCCGGGCGCACAGCACCCCGCCTCCCCCCTAGCCGCAGCCCCGCCTGTGTCTGAGCAGACGACGGTGAACCCCCAAGCAGTCAGCCTTTGCCTTCCGGCGCCTACGCTGCGTCGTTGGAAGCGGGTCAAGGCCTGGTCGGGGTGCCCGCAGGCTGTGCGGGCTGGAGACCCTCCAAGACTCACTCCCACCCCGGACGTCGAGCTCCCCCGGCAGGCTGGGTGTCCCTCAGAGACGTGGATGAGTGTCCTGGAGCACGACCAGCCCGCCTGCAGCAGCGGAGCGGGGCGCAAGGGCCCTCGGTGGCACGCGGGACCCCCTCCCCGCCTCTCCTGGGAGGCGGCTCGACTGACTCAGTGGGCGTCCAGGGTGGGCCCTCTGAGAGGCCACTGAGGTTCCAAAGGGCCACCTCCGACCTTGGCCTTCCTGGGCGGCATGGCCACGCAGACCCTGCAGCCCCCGCCCAGCCAAGGCCCGCCCGGCCTCAGGGACACGGAGAGACAGAGCCACCGTCCAGGGCCAGGCAGAGGACAAGGCCAGTGAGGTGACGAAGACACAGGCCTCTCGGGGACACCTTCCCTGGGCCGGCCATGCACCAGCGTGGGGCACAGGGCCGAGGGCCGCGTCTGACATCCGAGGGAAAAATGACCGTGACGATATCGAATGCGTGATACATAGGGAATGACACGTGACGTATGTAATACGCTCTTCTACACAGTACCGTGTTTCCCCGGAAATGAGACCTGCCCGTAAAGTGAGCCCCAGCAGGGTGTCTGAGCATGTGCACAATACGAGCCCTACCCTGAAAGTAAGAACCCAGTGACGGGCGTGGCTGCGCAGCGCATCTGCACAACCCGTGCGCGTCGTCATCGCGGAGCGGGAAAGAAGACGGGCAGCCCTTCTCATCTGCCCCGTCGTGGCAGCTGCTGTCCCAGAGGTGACCGGAAAGGTGCGGCAGCCCCACCAGCAAGGTCGGCTCCCCGTCGGGTCCCGGCCACCCTGCGCGTGCTGCGAGCTGAGGCTTTGGGGGGAAAAGAACACGTCCCCCGAAAATAAGCCCTGGGGTGTCTTCTTGAGGAAAAATAAACATAAGACCCCGTCTTATTTTCGGGGAAACGCGGTACGTAAGGCGCGTGTTTTACGATGTAATGGTTTGCATCACGCAGCGTACAGTGACACGTCACGTCAAACACGTGGCGTGATCTCGCCCGGATGGGGATCTTTACGCCCCAGTCACAGCGTGGCTGGTGATTATGTCATGGAGGAAGGGCGGGAAGGCCAGGTGCCGGCCTGCTCTGGGCCCTGAGTGCCCTCCCCGGCCGCCCCCGCCCCCGGACTGCGCGCTTGCGGGCGGCGACACCGTGTGGCAGCAGGAGGCAGTGCACCAAACGTGGTGAGCCGCCAGCCTGCCCGCCTGCACCCTGCCAAGGCCCAGAGGCCGAGGACCCCTTCTGGGCCGTGGAGGGGGGCTCAGCCACAGCTCAGGGGGGGCCCCAGGGCGCGTCTCACTCCCCTGGCACCGGGGCCTGCGGCGCAGCCTGGCAGTCCCCGAGCAGCGCGTGCCTCCACCTGCTCCACGCCCGGTGCCCACCCCAGTGAAGCTCCGGATCCGCCCAGCCGCCGTCCTGAGTCACAGCCAGGCCCTGCGCCCCAGGGGCCATGCCTGGCAGTGTTGCTGCCACCCACCAGGGGCACCCAGCAGCCTGAGGGGCGAGCGGAGGGGGCCGCCGCGTGCCCAGCAGAATTCAGACCTCACCTGTGTCCAGGTGCTGCCCGCCAGCCTGCAGGAGGGGACGCCAGCCTGAGCCTGGGGGACTGGGCTATCTGGAGACACAGACAGGGCGGCCCCAGGCAGAGGAGGTGGCCCAGCGGCGGCCGCAGCATGGGAGGTGGGGCTGGGGCCCTGGCCAGGACCTCGCATGGGAGGAGGGCAGGCTCTAGGGCTGAGTGCAGGGCCTGGGTCTCACTCTCCCTGTCACAGCCGTGGTCTCCCTGAACAGGCTTACGCCCTCCCAGGGGCCTATAGTGGAGATGGGCCTTTGATGTTGCCTCCTGAAACAGGCAAGGTCTGAAGTTTCAGGGCAGGCCATGGGGCCTGGGGGTGTCTCTGTGCCAGCAGGGTGAACGTGGCTGGTCACTTTCCCATTCTGAGCTCAGGCTTTTTGTGTCTAGAATGGGGAGAGGGTGGTACCAGGTGGGTTGCACGTGTCAGGCCTGGACAAGTGGAGGGCTGAGATGGACCAGGGAGGGGAGGGCCTTCAGGTCTGGCTTGCTCAAGGGGCATCTCTTAGCACAGCCCTAGCTGTTGCCAAGACTGAGGGCAGTGGCGTTGCAGGGTACCCCATGGCTGCCTGGGGAGGAGGGGTAATGGCAGTGTATCGGGGAACAGGTAGGGTTCTGGGGTCCCTTCCCTGTGGTCAGAAATTGGACCAGGCCCAGGATCCTTCTGGGCACCTCAGCCTCCTGCCTTGCCCTGATGGTCCATCTTGGGAGGAGAAAAGTGGCCGCCCTGACACCTCAGTCTGACCTCCTCGGAAGGGACTCTCCTCTTGGCCTTGATCTGGGCTCACAATGGTGGCGCCTGTTCCTGGTGGGCCTGGACCCCCACCCTCGGCCCTGGGCCCAAATCCTGGCATCCGGGCCCTGCCTCCAGCTGAGCCCCAGGCATGCGATGCCACCAATTGTGACAAGCAAGAAATCTGGACCCCCCCCCTGGTCTCTAGAAGTAAAACAGAAAGGTGACCTTGCCCCTCCCTCCTCTCCCCTCCCCACACTCTCCCCCTCCCCCCCACATCTTCCATCACCCAAGCCCGCCCCGCCCTTCCGGGATCAACACAGGTTGATCCTGTGTTGGATCAACACAGGTTGATCCTCCTGCTCACTTCCGGGATCAACACAGGTCCGGGAGCCTGGCGAGAGCCGGGCCGGTGCAGGGACGCTCCATCACACCTCGTGGCTATGGGGGCCGGGTGTGGTGGGCAAGGCCAGGGTGCGAAGGCCGGGCCAGGCTGGGCTGGGATAAGAGGGGAGGGGAGGAGGACTTGGGGTGGGGGAGTAGGGGCACCAACAGGAGAAGAAAGGGGGCGGGGAGGTGGGAGGAGCCAGTGCGGGCCCTGGGAAGGAGGGGAGGGCGGTGAGCCACATCTGGCCCCAGATTCCCACTGGGATCAGTGTGGTTTCCTGGTGTCCTGAGCTGATGCCCACAGTGTCCTCTTAGAGTCGCTGCAGTGAGCCACCGAAGGCTCTGACAAGGCCTGCAGGAAGGAAACAGGCCCATGTGACCTGGCTTACCCAGTTTCCCAGGTAAGTCCGACCACACCAGCTCTGGCTTTTCCAATCACTCCAGTGGCATTCCCACGGGACAGGAGTTGTCACAGGGGCTTCAGCCCAGCCTGGCCTGGCAGTCCTGTGCCGGCCGCCATGAGAAGAGAGGGTCCCGTGGAGGTGGGGAGCCCTGGGGGGGGGGGTGGGCACCAGTGGTCAGGCCACAGTGGTGACCAGCAGTGTTGGGTTGGGAGGCCGAGGCGGGTGGATCGTTTGAGCTCGGGAGTTCAAGACCAGCCTGAGCAAGGGTGAGACCCCGTCTCTACTAAAAAAAAATAAAATAAAATAAAAAAGTTAATTGGCCAACTGAAAATAGAAAAAAAAATAAAGAAATTTTAAAAAAAAGGAGCGTTGGGTTGAGAAACTGTTGGGAGGGGACATCAGAGGGACCTGGGGACCAGCCAGGGCAGAGGCCCAGGCCACCCGGGGTTGATAGGTGGATGGGACAGAGGAACAGGCTGGGAACAGGTCCCTAGCGGGCGAGGCCAGGACCCGACATGGCCAGGTGCCCCAGGGGCGGACCTTGCGGACTGGAGGCCAGGCCTTCGCTGCCCAGGGAGCCGGGGGCCACCCTGCCGGGAGGCAGACTCCTGCGCCCCCTCCCCGCCCCCCTGCCCTCGGAGCATCCAAAGAGAGAACCGGCTGGCTCAGGCGCGGCCAGGGGACAGCAGCAGGGTGCCCAAGGACCCCGGCCCAGCCAGGCGCCAGGACGGAGCCGGGCAGTACACTGCGACGTTTCTGGAAGGCCCGAGCGGGCTCAGGGCTTGGAACCCGCACAGGATCCCATATGCAATTCTGGGTGCGTCTGCTCCAGGCAAAGCCCTCGCTTGGCCATGGCGGAGTCCCCCTCCCGGGCCGGCGGGGCCTTGGGCCTGGGCAGGGCCGGATCCTAGGTGTGAAGCCCAACAGCGTCTGGCCGGGGCGTGGCCGAGTCAGGCAGACCAGACCCCCTGTCTGCATTCTGTCCGGGCTGTTGTGGCTTCTGGCCTTGCAGGG